TTTCTGTATCTTTCCCGTTCCTACCGCCAATCTCAAACATACTTCACTCGTCCTAATAACTCTCAATCGAGGAGCAGTTCCGGTAGCAACTCCGCGAAATGCTACGGACGCCTTCTTCACGCCAAAACTCTCACATCCCCCGCTCAGACGAACCTTCACGCTTGCACTTGTAACGACTTCACCTTACAGTCCATAATCCTTTCACACCAGAAACTGCATTAGCTTCCTCCTTTACATCCATGCCCAGCTTCATCAGCATTTAGAACCCATCGTCCCTAAATGCTGATCATTTTATTTAACAGGTGTACAATAGTTAGACATGGTCCACAATCCGGTATCGGGCCAGTGACGATTTGGTCATGTGAAATTCTGGACAAACATCGTAACCTGTCAGAAAAGCGGAAAAGTAACGCAACATACTTAACTCCGTACAAAATAGTATTGAATCTGGTACCAAACTCCCATTGCACCAAATAAAATTGAAACTACAACCAAACAATATTGAATCTGGTACCAAACTACCAACGTACCAAATAAAATTGAAGCTAGTACCAACGCATAATGAATCTGGTACCAAATGCGCGCCAGCACCAAAAATGTTGAACAATGTACCAAAAAATGTTGAACATGTACCAATTAGTCATCAAATCGCCGCCGCCATACAAAGCTCATACACCCTAAACCCTAAGCCCTAAACCAAACGCAAGCCCAGTGGCCGCAGGGCTGGTCGCAAGCTGCCATTCGATGACTAATTGGTACTGGGTTCAACATGTTTTGGTACACCATTCAACATTTTTGGTACCGGTGCGAATTTAGTACCAGATTCAATATGCGTCGGTACTAGTTTCAAGTTTGTTTGATACGGCGGCAGTTTGGTACCAGATTCAACATTATTTGGTACGGAATTAAGTACGCGCGGAAAAGTAACACCCAGATTTGTCATTGACCTCCCTGGGTCCAAGCAGCGGCCGTCAGCATCTGGTGTTGATGCCAGTACTTATGGCCGGCTTGCCTGCCATTCCACGAACACCAACGATCTTCGCTCTCTGGCCAAGGAAGGTGAACGGTCTTGGGGAACGCCACGCAGCTTGCTCTTCGGCCGGTACGCACGCATGCGTACCTGGATGCGCTTGAAACACGAATGGCGGGTCTCCGGCGATGTGTGGTGGACTCCGCCCCTGGTCGTTCCGGGAATGGGTGGCCGGGTGGCATCGAATCCACGAGACGCACGACGTTCACGAATTTCACCACCTCTGCCCGTTGCTGCGAACAAAATAAACTGATATGCCGAATGGTTGCGCATGCGTGTCTGTGGGCATGGTTGTGACCAATGGATGGGGGACCGTTGTCAATCAACAATTCGCGAGGACGCTGCGTTTGGATGAATCTTTGAATCCTGGCGCTGCGTTTGGATGGATCTTTATGCGCTGACACCGTTGCGAAACCGTGAAACATCACGTGGAATTTTCTGCAATCCGCCACTGATCCGCTGAATTTATCGAAAAGGCAGTGCACAGCTGATGGCATGTGCAATTGGGAAGGCAACCATGGTGTTCGTCCCGACAGCAAATCCCATGGGTCGATGATGTGAAGAATATTGGGCATGGAGAAAGAATACGGTCGCCGCTGTGGCTGGAATTGTTGCCCAACGCATTGGCTGACAAGGGCAGCGATCACACTACGGCAACCACCCGACATAGTGCAGGCAATATATCATAAGCTGACAATCAAAGTATACAGGCTATCGAAGCGTCCAATGTGTGCGAGAATCCAATAAAATTACATCAGCCCTGAATTGGCAGTGGCCAAAACCAGCTCTTGCTACAAGTTGGCACCCATGCCCAATTGAGCTTCTTTCATAGGTGTCAACTGTTTCTGAGCCCACGTGTTGCCCCTTTCAAGCACATGGTTGGCTTCGCCTCTTGTGAGCTGACATCGCGTCGATGCGCATCCAGGTTGGCAAGCATGGGGAGCTTGCAGGCATCGACTGAGCCAAAGGCCATGTGTTGTGGCACCTTGCGCCCAAGTGGGAATCCTCTTCGATGCACACACTTGTCTCGCCGCTCAAGGGGCATGGCTCCACAGCTGTCTGGCAGATCCCTCTGCACAGTGAAGGCACAGGCATCCTCTGGTTCCAGCACTGATGGTAGGTCTTATGAATGGTTTGCACATTCCATGTATCCACATTCTCACATTTCGGCAAATGGAATCACATGCATTAAAGGCACCAGTGAAGGCACTTGTCAACGAAGGTATTGACAGAATTATACTGCAGGCAGGAGGGTTGCGGAAGTGGCCAGATTTTGCTGCCGTTGATAACTTCATATGTTCATGCAAGAGCAGAAGCGTTCCATTTGGGTCTGCATTGTTGCAACTGTAGCACCTTGTTAAGATCTGTTACTGTAGAACAGCTGTGCTTGCTTCCACAAGTCCACAACTCCACCTTGTGATGCACGTGTTGCGGGAATCATGCTGAACAGTCTGCATCCTTAACTTGCGCACACATATCAATGCAATCTCATGTCAGACACTGATAACAAGGGAGACGACGCAATGCATGAGTTGCATACATAACGTTCCTTGCGATCTTGCATCAAGCTATGACAGAGCACCAGCACAAGCAGGACATTTCTGCTTTGGAGGCTGCACTCGATGGCTTATCGAAAATCCACATCGTTACAAACCATCTTATGGAAGAACACACAGGGAAGTCATATTTTCTCGAAGTTTGTCCTGATGCTTCATAGTATTCTCTGCACTGCCACACAGAGCAGGTGCACATCAGGAATATGCCATATGTATGTGTCTTGGAAGTGCATGCACACAGAGAAGCCAACACTTGCCCCAGAAAATGTTGCAGTATTCAATCCTTTCCCTGTGTTTGCCCATGTTTCCCGTAATTCCATTGTCACAGCCTGTACAGATTCTCTTGCTCAGCATAAAAATTGCTGAGGAGATCCTGGCTGCTGCTGAGCTAAACAATGCTTGTTGTTGACTTGCAACAATGCTTGTTGTGATTTGCATACACAGTTGGCAGCATGCTTCGCGACATTTGGAACGGCATGCTGGGAGGCAGCAGCGCCATGCCACTTGCTAAAGCTCCCAGAGAGAATGCCGTGCTTGTTGTTGGTGCTGCTGGCCGAGTTGGGAAGCAAATTGTGCAAAAGGTTAGTCAACCTTTCCTTGATTGTCAAAAGCTCTTGTCAGGTTTACTTCATTGTCAGCACAGTGCTGACAGGCGACAAGCATGCTGCTTTCAAACCGCATTTGTAAAGCAAGTTGTTTATGCCTTTTTTTGCAACGTCAAATGGAGCCCTTGTGGCTTGCAATAATAAGTTGTTAATGCTGAGGTCTTGACAGCAGGCAGGTCATCAGCGATTCCCAGCAGTGAACTGTTGTGTTGCCCTGCATCGCATCCCAGTGTGTGTGCACTGCTTGGTATTTCATACTTGGTTTACATTGGTGCTGTTGCTGAAAGTCTTTGGTCAAGAAGACTTTGTAATATCATGATATTGCAACTTCTCTATGGTAGTCCCCAGAAACAAAGAAAAGAGAAAGCAAGAAAAAGGAAAAGGAAAAGAGAAGGGAAAAGCAAAGAATGAGTGAATGAACATGCTTACAGGCAACATGAAAGTCAGCACACTGGTCATGTCATGTGTCTCTGCTGAACTCAGATAGTCAGACAGCATTCCTCTGCTAGCAGTCTACAATGACCTCACAATGTTTGGCAAAAGCCCCACCCCCACCTCATCAAGGAACACGATGTGCAAAGGCTCACAACCAAGAGGAAACCACATTGTTCATATCCCCAACTCTGTCATCCATCCACTTGCCTTTCCAACGTCTCAATCAAGCGCCCTAACCCTCTCACAAACTGTCTGAGACGAGAACCCAGTACCCTGGCAAACCAGCTCAAGTCCTCTTTCCACTGCAGTGCAATGCTTTTGAGCAAAACCTCCTGCTCCTGGGCCAACCCTCTGCATTCCCGCAACACATGGTCACAAGAGAAGAAGCCATCCCCACACCAGGGGCACGGCTCTCACTCGTCTGTACAGAATCCTAAAGACATAATATGCCAATGGCCCGTAAGCAGTCTGGCAGCCATGGTAATATTGAACCGACTCTCTGTCGAAATGTCTGCTGTCCTCCACTCCTGCCTCTGAGTGATTACATCTGCAAGACCATTGGGTCTGGAGAGCCCTGTCAATATCCTCGTGTAGTAAGCTCCACCTGGCCGGAGGTGGGTCAGACAGAGTCTTCCCCAACACAGACCAATGAAATCATGTGTGCCCTCACTCCAAGGGCAAAACTTGCATCCGGCGGGACACACCACTCAGTGGCTTCATCAACTCAGCCCAAAGTCAGGGAAGAAAGAGGAAAGGAGAATTAGAAGAAAGGAAAACAAGAAACCAAGGAGAGAAGAAAGAAACCTTCTGTGGGCAGAATGGAATGCCCATTGGCTTAGGATCTCCAACATTTTGAGTGGGACATCATCAATGGCAGTTTCCGGCTTTGTACTTGTTGGACTATGGGTACAGAGGGAGCTCCAACCAGCGTGCCCAAATGTTGTCATTTGCAACACCGTTGATGTTGATCACAATGGTGTTGGTGAGCACCATTAGTTTGTTGTGCTCCCTGTTGCAGTGCTTGAATTTGGACAAGAGCTTGCTGTGTAGTGTAGCTGCAATTTCATGATCGGCTGTAAAAGGTAATAATAGTCCAGCTTAAGTGTCATCACCCGAGGTGGACCTCTGGAGTGTACGCCCTTTGCTGACATTTCTCTTGTTGGTGTGCAACAGATCATTGAGTCCGGCCGAACTGTGGTTGCTGCTGTTGGACCTGGCCAAACAGCCGAAAACGTGATACCATCCAATGAGCTGAACTGTCTAGGGTCTGACTGTGGCACTCTCATCGTTGAGAGTGTTGACGCAGGCGACAAGTCTACACTTACACCTGAGCTCTTTGAAGGTGTCACACAGGTCGTTTCAGCCATCGCATCAATGGAGGACCCAGAGAGGGTGGACGCTCAAGGTGCTAGCTGCGCACTGAGTTGGCACTGTGCTAGGGCCCTGAATACTGAGTGAAAATAGAATTTGTAACTGTGGGCTACAGTGGTGTGGTCCCATCGCACCAGCCGATCCCAAGGAAATTTTCAATCTGCAAAGGAAGACGGTTGCCTAGTGGATATGGCATTGAGTAACAAGGACATTGAAATTGAAAGAATAGTCATTGCAAGAAGTGCAGAGCCCGATGGACAGTGTGTATTGGTTTTACAGAGGAACACGACAATTCTGGCATCCCTTGTGTAGTGGTTTGTACTGCAGTGGACCATATCTTTGAATGCATAGTTACTGTTTGTGCAGGTCACACCCCTGATACTCTTCATGTTACTTCCAGTGTGCAGAAAGCTGGGTAAAATCGCTGCTGCTGTGGTGGAAGATGAGGAAAAGATCTGGATATGGTCTGACACATAGCTGCCTGGTATTCTTTCAGGAAATGTCCATCTTGGTGAAGCAGCCATTGAGATGCTGCCGCACACAGCAACAGCAGCGGAAGAGATCCTCAACCTGCAGACGCAGAAGGATGTGGAAATGTGGGAACGTCTTGATGATGTGATAATGGGTGGCAAATCGAGCAGCAGCATAAAGCTTGCAGGCGATGGCTCTGGTGCTGTGTGGTCAGGCGATCTGGTTGTGGAGGTGGGCTGCAAAGCAATATCAAAATGTATGGGGATTTGGGCTCAACTGATGAAAACAGATTGGCAAATCCAGCTGTGATTTCATAGCTATCAGGCTTTCCATGCTTGCCGCAGCAAAGGCATCCACGATCCGCTGGCACCTATTTTCAGGTCACCTATGGTGCTGTAGTTTCGGTAGTGGTATTAACTTGTACAGCCAAACCGAGTCACACTATCTTTGGTTAGACTTGCCCTTTAGTGATAAAGGTTGCATGAACAGCAACAGGTCGTAGCATTGTGTCTGCCATGGTTGAGCAAGACATGTCCAGTTTAGCATCTTGCTTCAGCTGCCATTCACATGCCCCTCAGCACAATGTCGGCCCTGTTATGCACCACATGTTTTACATTGCTTGTTTGCATGTATATTCTCAGGGTGGTGGCTTCTGTGGCTGCCGCATCTCGCTCCCCAAGAGTTTGGACTTGAGCATGTTTGACGGGGTCGAGTTCACGGCGAAAGGAAATGGATCCATCTTCAAGCTGAACTTGGCAACGGCCCAGAGTGTAAGTCCAGCATTTGCCATATGGTCCCCTGGACTGACGCTTGACATGACACAGCTCTCTCCCCTGTCGCTGTGTTTCAGCCCCTTTTGTGTGTGGACCAGCTAGAACTGGATGCCACCTCTCAAGTTGTGATCGCTTGCAAGTGACCACTCTTTGTGCAGACACGTCTGCCCAGTTGTCTGACCATTCCTTGATTTTCTCTGCCGTAGCTGTGGAACAATCGAGTGCAGGCTTTATGTTTCCAAGCTACTGTTGGTACTGGATCGTGCTGCAGGAAGGTGGGAAGACATATCAGGCATCGTTTGAGACTGTGGAAGGAGCTTGGACAGAAGTTAAGCTGCCCTGGCATGAGTTCGTACCTGTGGACCAGGCAATGTACGAACCAGGTCGGCCTCCTGCCGATCCTTCAAATGTTGTTGGTTTCACGCTGGTGAGTAAAGCAGCGCAAGGCTTGCTGAGAATAATCTCAGTTGTCCCCCAATACTCTGAGAGGCTAAACCTTTTGTTGGAGAACCTTGCGTTTTGGCTCTCCTGTCACTTCTGCTTGAGTAGCACAGTTTTGTGCAACGCACTCCAGGTTTGGATATGGGTCGTCCTCGTCTTTGCCTCCAATGCACAAGGACACTGTTGAACCATGTAAAGGCAAAAGACATCCAAGGAACTCCTTCCAGATGCGGGCTGTGTCGAAGCAAAGATTCAAGCAAGTCGATCTGAGGGTCCACTGCATCCCCAGGTGTACAGCCGCTTTACTCACAACCGGATGCCCAACCCTAAGTACTCACCAGGCCCCTTCGAGTTTGAGATCAAAGGAGGGATATCTGTCTTCCGGGACCCAAGGCCCCAGATTGTCCTGGTCTCAAGCGGTGCCCTGGAAAGGAGTGCGCTGATAGGCGATGATGCTGCGGCAAGGGAGAAGGAGATTCCCATCGTGCAGATGAACCCCAAAGGGTTGCTGGATTGGAAATACGCTGGGGAGAACGCCATCAGAGCCACTGGGTTGCCTTACACAGTTGTGAGGCCTTGTGGACGTGAGTTCTTCAAGCAAGTGCTTCTTTGATTCTGGTGTCCCTGTCTCCGGGCATGAGGGTAGGGTCTGCTGGCTTACTATTGTGCAACCTCCAGAGCCTCCATCTCAGAGGCTGATTGAGTGCATGCACTGTGCAGCCACAAAGAAGGGGCTTGAAAAGCACGGAAATTTTCTAGAAGAATTCAATCTCTCCAGTCCCAGAGCTTTGAACCCAGCACTCTTATCTGAGGACACATTTGGATGCAGTGGTCGAGGGATGTGCATTACAGTGCTGCTGAGAAGGCCAGACGGAGACCCTGCTGTTACTTTTTCATATGAATCTGTAGCATTCCCAGCCATTCCAACGTTCCCAGAAGTTGCGCCATATGGGAAAATCATTAGGTTTTCTTGTTCAACTTACTCATCATTGTCATGTTGTGTGCTAGTGAAGGACGATGGGGAGATGGTGCCGAATTTGATAGAGGGCGATCAAGGAGATCAGTTTCGTGGCACCCTCACATTTGGTGACGTTGCAGACGTCGTTGTGAGAGTGCTTGATTCACCTGCTGCTGCGTACAAGACCTTCGAAATCCGGCGGTCAAACGATCCGCTCCTGGAAGGCAGGACGATGAGTGATGCAGACTACCGGAGGATGTTCTTGAAGCTTGCCTTGGGTATGGCACAATTACCTTTCAATTGATGTGCCTGCTACCAAATCCAGGCTGCAGCTGATACTAATGGGCACTGGTTGTCCACCACTGCATGTTCAACAGCTGAGACATCAGTAGCCCATTGCCATGCAACTGCTCACTGTTGTTGTCACGCAGATCGCCACAGGCCAAGAGTAGGTTTGCCTCCCTTTCCACCTCCGTACATGTCTTCGCCACCAGCTCCTACTGACAGTGAATTGGAGCAAACTGCAAAGGGGCAAGACAACGTTGCTGACACAGAAGGCAAGCACTGGAGTTCGATTCATGATTGAGAACTTCTCGTGTATACAGTCCCAAAATTGTGATAAGCAATACTACCTCTGTTCCGAAAAAAGCCCTGTACGAATTCAAATCTGCCCAAACAGAAGTCAAAACATGCAAGTCAGCAAAATTGACCAAAAGCATTGATACGCCATATCAAGAGCTATCTGTAGAGCTCTCAAACGTTGCAAACAGCACTGCCATTCTTGCGATATGTGGACAGGAGCTCGAATGTGGCATCTCATTTTGTCAGGACCTGGGGCGGGGCATGGTGAGCTTCTCTTGCTCTTAAAGAGGGTAGATCGAGCTGAGCTATCACTAGGAGAGAGGCATGCTTTGGTGGTTTGGTCAGTCCTAAAGATGTGGCTCAATTCCAAGCAGTATCCTTTTAAGAAAGGGATTGAAGCTTAGTACAACATTTGAGGTGCCAGTAAGAACCGCGTGAAGGTTGTGCCCAAAAACCAAGAGACACCTCGATCGGTGCAAGACCATGTACCTAGTAGACGTGTAAAGATTCGGAAAGCTATAAATACTAACATCAACGAAAAAGATTGCCTGAATTGATGCAAACACAGCCAATGGGTGAAAAACTGAGTTTTAGAACATGATTCAGCATACCGAAAAAGATCTCTACAGAAAGCATGATAACAATGGTAGAAAAACTCTTGAAAGTGTGTAGTAGTGCCTATTTGTTGTTCGCAGCAAAGTTCTTCATGAATTTCAGGGACACGGGTTGGGACATACTGGAATAAGGCCAAAGCAACAATGCAGGAAATTGAGGTCCTGCATGGAACTGAACAGGGGCGTTTTTGATTACACTGCGAAGGTTGTGTTTTGTGGCAATGACTAATGTAACCAAGATCCACATCAACCTAAAATCAAGCAAGGAATTCGAATCTGCTGACAATTCACTGATTGAGTTGATCTTGCACAAAGTTGTAGAAAGATTTGAATTCGGACACAACTTTTGGAACAGAGGTAGTATGTGCTTAAGCATGTGCACAATATCAGAATGGTGCTGTGATGCTATCGCTTTTCTTTGCTGGTAGTACATTAATGTTGATCTTCTGGGACTCGAGCAAAAATGCACTCGAGCTTGAGCAAGATTGTCAGAATAGTGCCTTGATGTTATGTTTGCTACGATGCTATGTACTGCTTTGTTGTTACTAATTCAGTTCTGGATTTCTGTGGGCAGGTCAAGGAGAGGACTCGGTAACAAAGGTTTCTGAGACTGCAAATGCCACTTCCTGATGCTTTTTGCTGTGTTGGGGACTGTCTCATTATGGACATCAGTCAATTCACCAGAGTTTGACTCACAGACTATTTTCTGTGGAACCTGGTCATCAATTTTGTTGGAATTGTCTTTGCCCAGAAATTTCGTTCGAAATCCCTTTGCCCAAAATGGCACAGACAGGTGTCACACTGAAGTGAAACAGGATGGGCCCGCCTGAAGGCCATTGCAAGCGACACATATCGACCTGCTTACAGGCCACCTCAAAATCGTGACCAACTGCTTAACACAAGGCTGTGCTGAGCTGCATCAGGTCTGCAACCTGCCCCACCAGCACCAGGGCTCACAGGGAAATTCCACTGTCAACTCTATCCATACTCTGCCCAGGATTGTAGACAAGGTAGTTGGCTTGGCATAGAACGTGCCCACATGTGTTCCAAACGTCTATCTACAAGGCTACACTGGCCTACCCAGAAAAGCCAATGCTGCTGTTTCCACACACAAGTGAGACCCAACCAGTGGGGCTTCTAAACAAGCTCAATGCTGTACAACTCTGTTCCATCGCCTTGCCTCCTCTTGTACTCAGGGGTGACCCGGCAATAACCACCATTCCTGTCCCCATATCTCTCTGGCACTTTGTTGAATAGGTTCCTCACAAGGTCCCTATCATAAATATAGGCAAGTGCCTGCAGACCAGAAAAAGGGATGCAAGCTCAGCTGCCAGGCAGCAAGGAACTATTGTAGAGGTCACAAGACTAGGGACAGCATCTTTGCCCAATAATAGTCCAGTAGAAACTCAGAAGTATATCCAGGGGACTTGTACTATGTGAATTATCAAATCCTGGTGTGGAAGGATATATCTGTGTATCTGATGTATGTGAAATCTATGCCCCAACGGTCTTGGTTCCTCAAACATGAGTGCTGCGAGGCGTAGCTGGACATATCCTGTGCCAGCAGGGGGACGTGGCACAAGGGCATGCCACATGACACATTCGGTGCAGTTGACTGTTGTGTGATGAATTGCCTTTCCAGTGGAGATAAGTCGCTCATAGGACAACCAGCGCATGCAACTTCCAGCCACTGAATGCTGGCCAGTAGGAAGTCAAACAACAACTCGTGCATTGGACCACCTCAAAACAATGCTGCAACATGGAAACCGATCAACATAAATGAATACCTGTCGTCTGGCATGAAGGTCGCCACGCTTGGCAAGAGTTATCATCTTGTCCACATATGGACGCATTGCCTTTGCGCGAACCTGAACAGTGCACATGCAGCTTTCCTATTCAGAGTTGCTATATCTCACCTGCTGAGCATGCCCCACAACTTCTTGCAATGGCAATGGAATACTGATGCTCCAAATCCCATGCCACAGTGTGAACACACTGATGGGGACCACAACGAAGGGCCAACAACGGGCAGCAACAACGTGCACATAGACTTTCTTCTCGATAAGGCGACATAGCGTATCACAACAAGCTGTTGCCACACTAAGAGATGCCACAGGGCAAGGAATGATGAGGCAACAGAAAGGATAAAATCACAGCCGAACGCTTTGCAAACCAGTCCATTGCTGAGCATCGGTCTCTGGCAGCCCACCTTCGTGGTCGTGATTTTCCCATGACGCAGCACTTCGGTGACCAGACCCCGCATCAGCGCTTTCCTTTGGTCGGCAGGACGGCCCAACCTCTTGACTCGTCTTCCGTGCCGCATCGCAAACACCTTGGAACCGTTTTGTACCAGTGACACAGGTGACACCAGAACTGCAGCCAACAGCGCACCCCATGGTCAAGCAACGAGCCAGCGTCAGGACAGCTGTGCAAGGACAGCCGTACATTTGGCCATAAACGTTGGGAAGGAACATCAAAAACATCCCCCTGCCGTTTGGACAATTCTACAGCGGCTATCGGTGAATCAGGGCATCCTGCCACGCGAGGGCAAAAGATGAACAAAAGCTGGAAGAATCCGGGGGCCTGTTGGACGCGTGAGACGCTCACATTGGGCTGAGCCCTGCAGGACGCAAGTGCGACTCGTGCCATGCAACTCGGCAGGGCGCACGGGCCCAGGACCCTGCAGTCGCACAGGGCGCAGGCTACTGTGTGGAAGGGCGGCCCGCAGCGAAGACATCCGGAACGCCGCCATCTCGCCCCTCCCTTTTACCGCGGTCGACATCGTTCGGTTGAGGGGCTGGCACTGGTGGCGGCCTCGAGTACCATTGCAAGACTCCTTGGTCCTGAACAGCACTAAATAATCGGTTCAGGGCTCTAGACAAATAGGAAAGTTGGGAAGGGGGGGAGGGGAGGCATATGGCGATCTCAGCGGGAACCGTTGCTCCTTACCCGATACGCAAGGCCACTGCCTAATACCGTAGTATTTCAAACCCTTCCGCATAGTAACATAACGCTGGGCCCTTTTTTGCGGAGTTGATGAGTACCGTAGTATTTCAAACCCTTCCGCATAGTAATGTAACGTTGGGCCCTTTTTTGCGGAGTAGATGAATAAAAAAGTAATTGTGTCAGAGCGAGATGCAGTGCAGCCGAATTTAGCAACGGCTGGGACATGGCCTCAGGACAAGGCCCCCGGCGCCTGGCAGGCCACTGGGTGGTCGATCGACAGGCAGGCAAGCGCATGCCGCTTGCCATCCGGGCGGTTGGGGCCTTGAACCTTGGGAAGCGATCGCAGTGGAGCTTGGGCGATCGATCAGCAGGCAGGCAGGCGCCCGCCGCTTGCCATCTGGGCGGCTCGGGCCTTGAACCTTGGGAAGCGATCGTAGGGGAGCGTGGGCAATCGATCGGTAGGCAAGCAGGTTGTTACGCATATAGGCCTAGTGTGGGGGACGCCTTGCCATGGTCTCCTGGTGTGGGGGACACCCTGCCCAGAATATGGTAGTAGTACCCGAACCAGACCTTATACTATTATACAATATAGGAGTAGGCCGGGGTGGTCCCGCTTAGGTCCCCATCAAGACCTAGATGCCCGGCGAGGTGGGTCCACAGCGTAAAAAAGGCAGGCACCCCACACCACCAAGGTTGCTGTATCATTTAGTTTCGGAGCCACCTGGGGGTGGCTCGCTCACTTCCACTACGAGAGGAGAGGACAACATTCGGAGACGCCATCCCCGGCCTCAACCATGGAGGCCAAAAAAACAATCCTGCAACCCACGAGGGCCCGGCCATTGAGGCGGCCGAACCAACAGCCAGAGATAGCAGACTGGTTGCGGAGGCCGGTGACATGGTAGCACCCCGTGAGGGATAAGGGCAAGATGATGGGGTAGTCCGGGAGGACATAGAGAGACAACTGCTGGTCGAGCACAGGCTGAGGTGCAGGACCAGCCAATAAAAGAAGCGGGGGTGGCGCGTGGTTTTTCCGCGCGCGCCCCGTGCGATGGATCGACGATCCCTCCGGCGGATGGCCAGGCGTAATCGGCACGGTCGCTTGCTCGATCTCGACGCGGCGCGGATGTGGTGGGCCCCTTGGCGGAACGGCCTCTGCGGTGCGTCAGTCGGAAGGGCGGATTGGGTCCGGCGTTGCCTTGCGCACGGTTCACAAGCAGGCAGTGACAGCAAAACGGATGTTCGTTACAGGGTTCCCAGCGTCTTGTCCCCACGGCACACAGCACGGTTACATAACCCTCATGTCACCCTGTACTTAAACCACCGTCCCCACAAGCACCCAGACCGTCCCCGAAGCCCTCTTTCTAATGCAGCGATATGGCCCGAAAATGGCCAAAATCCCCAAATCGCCTCGCTGCGCTCGATGCTCACCCAAGGCGCAGATAATTGGTCCGCGTGCCTTTGCGTCGCATCTCACTCCGCTCGTATAAAGAACCAAAGACAATGTTCACACAACAGGGGGAGGCCCCCACAGGAACTTCGGCGGAGCCGGGCTTAATAGTGGCGTTTCTCCAAGCTCTTGGAATGATGGAGCTACTGGAGAAGATGGCAGCTACTATGGCCGTCAGAGTGCAGGAAGCATACGATAGAGAAACAACAACTCAGATCGTGTGCATGGAGATCAAGATTGCCGCAACCTAAATGCTGTGGAAACATATGGGGGTCAAGTGAAGTAAGGACTTTAGTCATTTACTAAAGCCTATTAGTGGAAGTTGATATATTGCATAGCTTGCCTATGAGCTGTAGATACTCGTAGACCCATTATATGCTAGATTCCCCCAAATAATAGTGAAGATATATCCTTGTGGAGTTCCAGTACTTTAGGGATAGGCCGTGGGGGTATAGTGGGCTACGGTGTATCAATATAGGTCGGTTCTTGGGTATGCTGGATATATGTGACAGTTGCACTATGTACTATATAATAGATATCTGACTATTGTAGGTGATTGGCCCTGGACTAGCCAATCACCATGCACAAAGGGGAGGCTCGGTCCGACCCCTCGATGTTACCTGATCTGGCTCACCGCCCCGCTCTGCACGGGCCGCACAGCCTGGGCAGCAACCGCCCCGGCACACCGCCCTTCCCAAACAGCCGGTCCACCTTGACTGCAACCCTGGGACCGTAACAACCGAATAGAGCGAGCGAGCGCCCCGATTACGCCCACCTCCTGCGAGGCGGAGGGGTCCATACTATGCATGTGCAGACCACCGGGCGATAGTGGGGTCCGGGGGCGCCGACGAAACCACAGTGTTTGGGCCCACGCGCCAAGTGGTTTTGGAGCCTACGCATCTAGCGGGAGGATGCAAAAATAGAGCATCTAGAAACGAGGAGGAATCGTGCGGATGGAGCAGCTACCCCAAGCATGAACGGATGAAACGCCGCGAATAGAAGGACCCGGCCAAACATTAAGGCCTCGGGGTGGTGGATTCTTTGACGGAGTTTTGGCACTGATGGAGCTCAGGGGAAGGAGCACCGCAAGATAAGCATGGCAGAAGGCAAAGGCAGAGATCAAGAGATGCGCAGCAATGCATGCCAACTTGGCATGGCGAATGGCGTGGAGGATATGGCAAAAGAACGCTAAGCCACTGGAGAGGCGAATGTTTCCCAAGAAGCAAAGGTAGAGCGCCATTTCGATGGCGCCTGCGAGTGAGAAAATGGAGCAATCGCTCTCTGCAGAAAATGCAATGGCAGAAAATGATTGTTGCCCTTCTGAATCATGGGTGTCAATCTTGCGCGCAAGGGGCAAGAGCGATAGAAGGCTGAGCGAGTGAAAATGACCGAGAACAGGCATTCCCGAATGGCAAAATGAGGGGGTGTAGGTCGTTGGTTTTGAAGGTGAACGTAGTGACCATGACGATTCAATGCAGGGCTGTGAAGCGGCATGTTGAGGCCAATCAGGCCAGTGAATACAAGTGTCACATGGCGGCCGTGAGGCTGCGCGTATTGGCCGGGTGAAAACATGCCGGTGGATGGAACGCCGCGGTTGGCCGGCGAGCCTGCATCACTGCGTGAGGTCGCTGACCATGGAGGCCTCCACTGTGGAGCATGGATTGATGCTGCCCCGCGAGGCAGCTGTAGAATCCCCCAGGATGATGGCGACCAAATGAGACAATCGGCGGAGCTTCGGTCAATGTATTACAATGGTGGTGGGCCCCCCTGGTCCAGACAAGGTCGAGTGCACCGGCGAACTGAGACAAATGGCCTATGGGGTGCCCACTTTTATAGGTGGCGCGCTCCCCCTCTCGTCATGGCACCCTCGGCCTCCTGTAATGTCCAATACACTCCTGTAATGCCACCCTCGGCCTCCTGTAAGGTCGCCTCGGCCCTTGGAGAACCACTCACATGGTCCCTTAGCCCCTTGGCGTACCTCTAGTAATGCCAGGCGGCTTCCCCAAGCTATACCACGTCCCTCCAATGTACCATGGCCGTAGGGGCGCTTGTACCTGTGATCCAATGTAATGCGGGTACCTGACAGGTGCCCGTACTGCCGGATCAACCCCATAATCCCTTGGAGTGTACTCCACCACTTCCTGGCGGCTCCCTTCCGCCCATGACCGCGCACTACATCATAATAGGCTATAATGTTCATCATCACACCGGTTCCATCAAGGAATAATGCCTCAAATGGCCAGAAATGGGCTAAATGACCTAAATTGCCTTAATGACCTCATTATACCGAAAATTGGCCCATTTAACAAGATGAACGTGGCGATCATGATTAACACATTTCTAGACTCAGATGAACACATCTAACTCATCTAAATCATCTAATTACCCGTCAATGTACAGTAGGGTGTCCAGTCACTACAATCTCCCCCCCTTAAACTAAGCATTATCCTCAATGCGGCCGTAGTACTCCTGGATCTTCTCTTGCACGTTTTGGAGGTTGTCTTCAGGCTCCCAAGTCTCTTCATGGGCAGGGTAGCCTTCCCAAAAGACGAGGTACTCCTTGACGGTTCGACGTCCGCGCTTCCGCAGTCAATGGTTGACAATTTCCTCGACGAAGTACTCCTCGTGGCCGTCCGTAGAGATGATTGCTTCGGGAGGTTGGGAACGTCTTCTAGCATCTTTTGGCGCTCGGTACAACTTCAGTTGAGAAACATGGAAGACAGGATGCACTCGGATGTGCACCGGCAGCTCCAGCTTGTAGGCTGTCGTGTAGCACTCCGCCACCTTGAACGGCCCAATGTACAACGGTCCAAACTTGTGGCTTGGTCCAGCTCCAGCGATGTTGAGGTACTTGGTAGATAGATGAACTTCACCACCAATACGCAACTCCAAAGGTCGTCGCTTCTTGTCCGCATAGCGCTTCTGTCACT